CATGTCAATATCAAATGGGCGTAGTATTAGGGCCTGTTTGGTTCACCAAGGACTAGGAATAGGATTAGGAATCCTATTTAATTTATGGATTCCAACCTAATCCATAAAAATTTTATAGACAAGTTTAAGATTTATGGAATCCCACTTTTTTTGGCTTTTAATGTTTGTTTCACCCAAAGGATTAGTAATCCCACTTTTATAGAATTGTTCCAATTCCTAATACCAAGTTTGGTTCAATGAGTCAAATTTTTTTGGGATCGTCACTATAGCAACAGAAATAACCCCTAAAAAAACAGATTTTTCTTGCATCAACCACTGTAGCAACGGCTATTTAAGCCCCCAATTGCTTATTTCCAGCAAAATAAACACTGTAGCAACGGTAATAAGCCCAGGAATCAGAAATTGCAAGCATCAAGCACTGTAGCAACGGTTGTTTATAGTAATCACTGTAGCAACGGCTAGTACAAGGGGTATGGTGTCTATAAATACACCTTGAGGCCTCACATATAATCCCATCTTTCTCATTTTTGTCTTCAATTTGCTGCCCCGACATCAAGGATGATATCAGAAGAGTGCTGGCAGAATTATGAAGTTTATTGCGACTGCAATCTCCGAACACCGATGAAAGTGTGCAAGAATGGAAAAAATAAGGGTAGGTGTTATTGGGGGTGTGCAAAATTCCCAAATAAAGAATGCAATTTTTTCGAATGGGCTGAAGAAAGAGGAGAGTCATCAAGCACCCAAGGAAGCCAATATGTCAAAGAAAATAGGTACGGAGATAAATATATCTTGCAATCAAAGAAGCTGAAGAAAGAATTGAGACTTGTCGAAAATCAACTACTAGTTTGGAAAATTTCGGCAATTTTCTTAGCAATTTTTTGTGTTATTTTAATTATTACAAACTTCATGTCATGTACTTGTAATTGCAAAAACTATTGAGGATGTAATGAAAACTATTGTTTGACTTGGGTACAAATTCTAATTGATATTGTATGGCTCAGTAATAGATCAACTTGTCATCATTGATTGCCCCACCTATAACTTACATGTTTATTACAGATTGCATTATAAGGATGAATTGCCTCGCCTAGACATTGTCAATTCAATGTAGGCTGCAATGTCATCCCCTTTTGCCTCATCTGGATATAATAAACAATGTAAGTTAGATTGCATTCTCAGTAAACGCTAATCATCACCATTGCCAAATATCAAGTGCAAGGAGCTACACAAGCTGAAAACCAAACCGCAAATTAATCCACAGGCAAGGAAAACCAAAACACTAAAAACCAAACCGCAAATTAATCCACAGGCAAGGAAAACCAAAACAGCTCCCACAAAGCAGCAACCCCCATTACAGGATCTACACAAGCTCTGAACAAAACAGAAACAAACCCAGGGGTCAAGAGCTACACAAGCTCAGAACCAAAAAACAACAAACCCAGCAGCAAGGAGGTAGACAACCTACAACGAAAACAGCAACAAACCCAGGGGTCAAGAGCTACACAAGCTCAAAAGAAAAAAGCAACAAACCCAACAGCAAAGGAGGTAAACAACCTCTGTCAAAAACAGCAACAAACCCAAGTCACAGGAGACAAACAAGCTCAGCACAAAACAGGCACAAACCCACCCAGCAAGGAGCTACACAAGCTCTGAACAAAACTTATTCAAACCAAGGGTCAAGAGCTACACAAGCTCTGAACAAAACATAAACAAACCCAGGGGTCAAGAGCTACACAAGGAAAGGAGAAAAAAAGCAACAACCCAACAGCAAGGAGGTAAACAACCTATGTCAAAAACAGCAACAAACCCAAGTCACAGGAGACAAACAAGCTCAGCACAAAACAGGCACAAACCCACCCAGCAAGGAGCTAAACAAGCTCTGAACAAAACAGAAACAAACCAAGGGTCAAGAGCTACACAAGCTCTGAACAAAACATAAACAAACCCAGGGGTCAAGAGCTACACAAGCTCAGAAGAAAAAAGCAACAAACCCAACAGTAGCAGCAAAGGCAAGGAAAACCAGCAGCAGCAGCAAATGCTGCACAAAGCAACCAGCAGCAGCAACTGCTGCACAAAGCAACCAGCAGCAGCAACTGCTGCACAAAGCAACCAGCAGCAGCAACTGCTGCACAAAGCAACCAGCAGCAGCAACTGCTGCACAAAGCAACCAGCAGCAGCAACTGCTGCACAAAGCACAAAACAGGCACAACTGCTGCACAAAGCAACCAGCAGCAGCAACTGCTGCACAAAGCAACCAGCAGCAGCAACTGCTGCAGAAAGCTCAAAACAGGCACAAACTAGCAACCAGCAGCAGCATGAGTTGCAGAAAGCTCAAAACATGAGCTCACCCAAACTGCAGCATCAGCATGAGCTGCAGAAAGCTTACCTGATATCAAAATATAATCGGAAAATTCAAAGAAATCAATGATCATTCCACGACCTTACCTGCAACAAAGATTGCAAATATACCAATTCATCAATCCCACACCGACATAGATGTTCTTCAGAATGAAAATACAAATTGCAACATTAATAGTTTGCAATAAACACAACAATATCCAGAACGTAATATAATCGAAACCCAAGTAACTAGCTATCCGGCCAACCTTGGTCGTTAACTAATTTTGTGATGTACCTCTGTTGACCTTCCTTAGATTTAATGAAAAACCTCCTACCTTCACGTTCATTGTCATATAAATGGTCTAAAACCCTATCGAGGAACTCCTCGGAATATTCAGACCTATGTTCCTTCAACGCTGTGGCCAACTGCTCAGTCCAGTGTATAACGTGTTGATTCCTCATTGACTGAGACATGGACTCAACAAAGGCACACATCATTTCCTCTTCACGATTAAATTTTCTGGTTTTTTTGCTAGATGATGAAGTCGTGTTGTCTTTACTCTTAGTCTTATATCTAGTGGGTTGTGGTTGGTTAACAGCACCAGAACGTGGTGCGTTGCAAGCATCAGACTGTGGTTCAGCTTCACTCTCCTCTAGAATCTCGCAATCATCATCGGGAATAGGTATGGACCTACTAGACCCAATGTTAGCGTACACGGGTCTAACAAAATCACCCTTGGCTTGATCATCACCCATGATAACTTGTAAATTTTTGAAGTGAGGAAGGGGTTTGTTTATGTATGCTTTGTACTTAGAATTGGATTTGTCCTGCAATAATAAATACTTATAAATCCAGAGAATCAAATGTATTAAATTGAATGTGACAAGATAGATGCTGAATTGTTATACCTGGGCCCAAGATTTCAAGGTTTCCTCATCCAATGTAATCATTTTACTTGTTTCATCCCACCCAGCACCACTTATATCAAGGCAAGCTTTCATGTCATTGAATTTGTTCCGCAAACATTTCAAGTGGTTAATGACATGCAGGTGAGTGAAATCAGTCCTGAATTGCATGTTGATTTTCATGGCAGCCATTTTATAAGCTTCAGCCTTGAAGTTCTTGTCTGGCTTCATGCCATCCAATGCTAAATCTGCAAGATAAGGAATAAGCACATCATCGTGCTCTGGAAGCCAAAACTTATTAGCCACGCCTCTTGAGTTCAACCTGGTACACGGAACTTTTTTTTTGTGTGCTAATCTTTTCCCTCTTTTCAATGGCGAAGTGTGCTCCGCACCATCAACGTCATGAATATCCTTTCCAACTGAATCACCGGTGTTTGGTGAAAATTGATTAGGTCCACTACTTTGAGAACTGGCTGTGGGAAACATCAAACCTTGTGGACTGCCTAACATGCTCATGTATGACATTGGCGGCTGTGTCATCCCACCATAATTACCATCCCATGGTGGGAATGGTGAGAAAGTATGCGGAGGTGAGGTGAATGGCTGTGGTCGAACAGGCATGTAGTTCATGTTAATCCCTGATGTAGGACTTGGCATTGCATTCGAATGAGAAGGCACGCTTTGCTTATCTGCCGGATTGTTAGCCATACCTAATATATTTTGTAAGCATAGCCATATTAACAATAAAGAAATTTATAGAATATGGGATATGTATGCATTTAGCAGGGAATATAGTAAACGATGTAATTTCTAGTTCAAACAACATAACAAAATAGCAAGTGATAAAAGTAGTAATGGTTTGTTACAAATGGCTTAGAAACAATAAAAGATATCGATGCGAACAGTATGTTAAAATTCACCAAGTTATTACATAGCCATAGAACAGATGCTACACTAAGTTAAACCGCTCTCCATTGTGTTACCACCATTGTACTTTGCACAATAATCCACCCACATCGCCCAAGCAATTTGATCTCGTAACTCCTTCCATTCATTTCTAACATCTCGATCCTCTCTTTGTGTCCTACTTTGAGTATAGTCCATCACATTTGATTCGTCCTCATTTGTCTCTTCCCCAGTATCTTCATCAATTTCAACATTTTCATTTAAAATATCATCATCCGGATCCTCCAAGGCAATAAAGTTGTGCAACACAGTACACGCTAGTACAATGTCCACTTGAGTGGGAAATGGATAATTCGGCTTCCCCGCAAGAATTTTAAACCGATTCTTCAGTATCCCAAATGTGCACTCAATTTTTGATCTTAAAGATGAATGCCTTAAATTGAACAACTCCTTCCTATTCTTTGGTGTCCTACCGGTGTGCTCTTTTAAATGATATCGGACACCGCGATACGGGGATATGAAACCTGGCATTGTGGTGTATCCAGCGTCACATAGGTAATATTTACCTACATTAATTAAACAGTATTTTAAAATCTCAAATATTGCCAAGTATTTAATATATTATTCATAATATGCACAAGTGAGAATGAATACCATCGTAAACTCGGAGCCCGTTTTAAAATTATCATACAGTTACAGCTTAAGATGACTACTTATTGCTTGTCAAAATTAAGTAGATAATTGATACAAATATTTATTTCTTTTAAAGCAAGAAATCTAATTGCAATAATAAATTATTTTAACTAATGTTGCATTCCATCTCACACAATTCTAAACAAGCAAGATAGACCTTCGGAGATAGTGAAAGTATGCCGGGTGATTTTATTGTGATCAATTTCTTTGCCCTGGTATTCACTGGTGGAAATCTTGTATTCCTTTCTTTGACATTATTCTTTACATTTTATTAAGTAAATGTTTTGATGCTTGGTTTATCTTAGTTTTGTATCGTTAAGTTAATTCTCTCAGTTAGTTTTTGTTGGATAATTGTTCAGGAAGGATGGAGCCTTGCGGAACTATATCAAGTTCAATGTGTTGTTGCTGCTCCTTATGTTCTTCCTTATAGGTGTGCAGACTCTTCACCTTATATTGTGAAGATAATTGTTCAGGAAGGATGGAGCCTTGCGGAACTATATCAAGTTCAATGTGTTGTTGCTGCTCCTTATGTTCTTCCTTATAGGTGTGCAGACTCTTCACCTTATATTGTGAACTCATTTAACTCATGTGTATGTGTGTATTTGAACATTCTCCTTGGTGTGTCAATGTTATTGTATATATATCCCTGATTATATTTTTCTGTCAGTTACCTTTTATTGTCAATATCTTAGGAGTCTCTAAATATTTCTTACAGAGTTTTAACATTTTCTGTGGCCTGCGTAGCGCACCTTCATCATTTGAACGCCAATTCAGACATGAATTTCCACTTTTGTTCAAGTACTTTCAAGAAGCGCCTGCTGAAAAGGTTAGTTGTTTGCTATGGACAACTATGTAATGGAGTATATTTCATCCTTTTCATGTTACAACATGTTATGTTATATGACTTGGGTTTGTAATTACTACACCCTGCATAGTGGCATGCAATTATGGGAATTGTATGCAAAAGCAATAACTACAATAACAAAGCCTTTATACCAAAATGTTGGGTTCATCTGACGATACGTCCCATAAAGATACGCACATATTTTAAGTACTTCTATTGGACTTTGGAGTTGGTTAGGCTTTGGACATATGCCGATTTGAGTCATTGATCTGCAATTTGTACATGCAGATGTGTCTGTTGCTGGATTTTTATCCTGTCATGAAGTTGTCGAGAAGATTAGAAGCTTCTAAAACACAAAAGTATGGGCCATGGGCCACTTTGTAAAGTAGCCACTTGATGCTGCCTTTGGAGGTGTTTGTCTTACTGGCTGACACATATTGAGTTTAACGGCCTTCAACTAGCCATGCTACCTTTAGCACCAAGTTGATTTTTCTAGATATTGTTGATGTGGATTTCTCCTTCACCAACTATTATACATGTTCATGTAGAACCTTATCACAAGACAAGACTTTGTAGAACTCCTCCACAATATAACTTAGAAGTTCTTCAACTTATTTCCGTGCATGTTCTTTTACGATACTATAGTTTGGTTAGTATTAAGTTAATCAATCTCTACTTCCAGACACAAATCTGGCAGCCAGATTCACACTATAAGGAGCTATATGATTAGTTATCAATTTTTGTGTTACTTCTGTTCTCAGTATTCTGTCATTATTACAAACCTCTAATAGTGATTACTCTTAGTATTTGGTTAAGATGCTCTGTCTTTATGCAGGTTTTATTTTTATTTTTTATTTATCTCTAGATGAAAGAAACATCAGCTTCTGTATGTTAACAGGTCAGCTGGAAAGATGTTCAACATTGGATGTGGCCACTCTTTTCAGAAGATTGGGGCTCATGGAGAAGTGATTGTTTGAATCTAAGCCCTTTACCATTCATGGTCCGTAATTGTCAAGTGTCAACTGATATGATTTCACCAAATAAGTATTTTCAAACACCTCCACTGTTATTCGAAGTATATTTGTTACTTGTTGATTTTGAAACTCATGCTTAATGGGCGCAGGATCCAGTAACAAATCTTCCCATGTGGCACATGCTGGTGCAGTCACCCTTGTTATTGTAAGGTTCAGATACTCTATCATTAAGGATGTTGTTCATAAGACTACAGTTATAGGAAAGATGTGTTGGTAATCTTTTTTGTTTTAATGACCATAGTTATCCAATAGTTATCCAGCTTGTTTAAACCATTGATCTCTTCCAATTATGAAAATTTACCCTCATCACGGCCACTGAACAATATTGTGTATGATTTCCTACTTCAGAAGTTATATCATTTAAATTAGCTACTTCCATGAAACGTATTCCAGCTTGCCAAGAATTTGTAATTTAAGAGCTTTATCTGGAAATTGGTAGGGAAATAATCTATGTTTTGATGCTTATTTACGCTCCTTTCACCGTCTGCTGGAATATCTATTCATCTTGCTCAAGTAGTTGATAGCTGTAGAATCTTTGCATATGTAACTAGTAATTGTGCTTTCTTCACTAGCTTCTGGCCTATGCCTTTTAAATTAATACTTCATGTGTTTGCCTGGTAATCTACTTTCATCTAAAGGATAGATGTTTTCGTTCGTTCCAACTGGTATGAAATTACCTATGGAGCAATTATGAAATTCTTTGACAATTGCATTGTATGCTGTCTAAAAATCACAATAGATAGTTGATCCCCCATCAAACACCGATGATGGAAGTTCTGTAGGCTGTCTAAAAATCACAATAGATAGTTAATCCCTCATCAAACACCGATGATGGAAGTTACAATCTGACGACTTCCAGAAGGCTACAATTTGAGGACTTTCACGTAGAAGGCTACAATCTGACGACCTTCACGACAACTGATGAAAGCTCTAATTCAACAGCATTCACAATCAACATCGGGAGTTACAATCTGACGACTCTCATATTTTATAACAGGCAAAGATCAATAAGCAATGGCCTTTGCAATGTTATAATGGACGAGGTTATAAGCCAACAATCTCTCTCAAACGCAGAAATTCACTTCTGCGTTTTTCAAGTTCAAAACGCAGACAAGTGTGCGTTCCTTAAACAGGCGTCGAACTCTGTAACGCAGAGTTGAATCGTAAAACGCAGACAAGTGTGCGTTCCTTAGCAGGTGTCGAACTCTGTAACGCAGAGTTAAATCACGAAACGCACACGTAATGTGCGTTCTTCGACAGACTCGACTGCATCCCAAACTCTGAACGCAGAGTTGATCCTCAACGCACCAGTGACCTGTGCGTTTCCAATTTCAGAACGCATGCGGCCTGTGCGTTTCAAATCTCCAATAGAGATTTAACTCTGCGTCCTAAGTCTTGGACGCAGAGTTAAGCCCCAATGTGGCCTGTGCGTTTCGACTCCTAGCGAACGCCTAACTCTGCGTCTCATCTTTAAGACGCAGAGTTAAGGTCCAAACGCAAGCGAACCTTGCGTTTTCAACTCCCAGCAAGTGCCTAACTCTGCGTCTCATCAATAAGACGCAGAGTCTGCGTCTCATCTTTAAGACGCAGAGTTAAGGTCCAAACGCAAGCGAACCTTGCGTTTTCAACTCCCAGTAAGTGCCTAACTCTGCGTCTCATCAATAAGACGCAGAGTTAAGGTCCAGAACGCTGTTTTCAGCGTTTTGACTCATTCAAAACACTAACAGTACGGTTTCAAAACCGTCTTCCCCACGATGTAGGGAGCTGTTTAAGAGGGGGCAGTTACACCCCACTCAGCCCATTGAGGAGCTAATTAAGGGGGGAGTTACCACCCCAGCCCATTGAGGAGCTAATTAAGGGGGGAGTTACCACCCCTAAATCCCCTATAAATAGTGGGAAACTCAGCTGAGTTCGGGCTGGCTGGGAGATCCTTTTCTTTGGGGAGGAAAAAAGGAGAGATCTTCGAAAACTTTGGGCTGTGATTTTGGCTTGGAGGAGAAGGCTTTTGGCATTTTGGCTGGCTTTTTGGCTCTCGGCTCTTGGCTTCTTTTTTTGGGCAGCACCAGAAGAGATCATCTTTAAGATCGGCAACAAGAGCATTCCCTTGGCTTATAACCGACTTTCGGTTCATAAATCAACTCTTTCATAGTCGGCCTTGGCTGATAACCGATTTTCGGTTCAAATCAACTCTTTTTCAAGAGTTCAAACTCGTTCAGAGTTATCAACTCGATCAGAGTTCAAAACTTGCTCTGCAAGTTCTTCTAAAACTCGTTCAGAGTTATCAACTCGTTAAGAGTTATTTTCAAACTTGCCACGCAAGTTCTCCACAGCGTCAAATCGTGAGGAGAAAATCACGTTCCAGTGAATCAAGACGTTCGGATCGTCAACGAGAAGCAAACTCGACGCAAGCATTCGAGGGAGGCGTCTCATCGCCACCGTGAAGAACCCAGAATTAAACAAAGGGGAGAATCAAATTCATTCTCCTCTCTTTTGTAATCGGAATCCAAATTGTAATTGATTTTGAGAGGAATACAAGTCAAATTTTTCTTTCATTATTTCTTTTACTGCAAATTTCCAACAAACAATCACCGCACGCCTCCCAACCCCAATCGCCGCCTGAATTAAACAAAGGGGAGAATCAAATTCATTCTCCTCTCTTTTGTAATCGGAATCCAAATTGTAATTGATTTTGAGAGGAATACAAGTCAAATTTTTCTTTCATTATTTCTTTTACTGCAAATTTCCAACAAACAAAAGATGGCGACTCCGCTGGGGACTAGCTTCTCTGATGAAGAAGACTCATGCTGCTGCAGAAAACTCAAAACAGGCACAAACCAGCAACCAGCAGCAGCATGAGTTGCAGAAAGCTCAAAACATGAGCTCACCCAAACTGCAGCATCAGCATGAGCTGCAGAAAGCTTACCTGATATCAAAATATAATCGGAAAATTCAAAGAAATCAATGATCATTCCACGACCTTACCTGCAACAAAGATTGCAAATATACCAATTCATCAATCCCACACCGACATAGATGTTCTTCAGAATGAAAATACAAATTGCAACATTAATAGTTTGCAATAAACACAACAATATCCAGAACGTAATATAATCGAAACCCAAGTAACTAGCTATCCGGCCAACCTTGGTCGTTAACTAATTTTGTGATGTACCTCTGTTGACCTTCCTTAGATTTAATGAAAAACCTCCTAGCTTCACGTTCATTGTCATATAAATGGTCTAAAACCCTATCGAGGAACTCCTCGGAATATTCAGACCTATGTTCATTCAACGCTGTGGCCAACTGCTCAGTCCAGTGTATAACGTGTTGATTCCTCATTGACTGAGACATGGACTCAACAAAGGCACACATCATTTCCTCTTCACGATTAAATTTTCTGGTTTTTTTGCTAGATGATGAAGTCGTGTTGTCTTTACTCTTAGTCTTATATCTAGTGGGTTGTGGTTGGTTAACAGCACCAGAACGTGGTGCGTTGCAAGCATCAGACTGTGGTTCAGCTTCACTCTCCTCTAGAATCTCGCAATCATCATCGGGAATAGGTATGGACCTACTAGACCCAATGTTAGCGTACACGGGTCTAACAAAATCACCCTTGGCTTGATCATCACCCATGATAACTTGTAAATTTTTGAAGTGAGGAAGGGGTTTGTTTATGTATGCTTTGTACTTAGAATTGGATTTGTCCTGCAATAATAAATACTTATAAATCCAGAGAATCAAATGTATTAAATTGAATGTGACAAGATAGATGCTGAATTGTTATACCTGGGCCCAAGATTTCAAGGTTTCCTCATCCAATGTAATCATTTTACTTGTTTCATCCCACCCAGCACCACTTATATCAAGGCAAGCTTTCATGTCATTGAATTTGTTCCGCAAACATTTCAAGTGGTTAATGACATGCAGGTGAGTGAAATCAGTCCTGAATTGCATGTTGATTTTCATGGCAGCCATTTTATAAGCTTCAGCCTTGAAGTTCTTGTCTGGCTTCATGCCATCCAATGCTAAATCTGCAAGATAAGGAATAAGCACATCATCGTGCTCTGGAAGCCAAAACTTATTAGCCACGCCTCTTGAGTTCAACCTGGTACACGGAACTTTTTTTTTGTGTGCTAATCGTTTCCCTCTTTTCAATGGCGAAGTGTGCTCCGCCCCATCAACGTCATGAATATCCTTTCCAACTGAATCACCAGTGTTTGGTGAAAATTGATTAGGTCCACTACTTTGAGAACTGGCTGTGGGAAACATCAAACCTTGTGGACTGCCTAACATGCTCATGTATGACATTGGCGGCTGTGTCATCCCACCATAATTACCATCCCATGGTGGGAATGGTGAGAAAGTATGCTGAGGTGAGGTGAATGGCTGTGGTCGAACAGGCATGTAGTTCATGTTAATCCCTGATGTAGGACTTGGCATTGCATTCGAATGAGAAGGCACGCTTTGCTTATCTGCCGGATTGTTAGCCATACCTAATATATTTTGTAAGCATAGCCATATTAACAATAAAGAAATATAAAACAATATGGGATATGTATGCATTTATCAAGGAATATATGAAACGATGATATTTCTGGTTCAAACAACATAAAAAAAGAGCAACCGATAAAAGTAGTAATGTTTTGGTACAAGCAAAAAAACAATAAACAATATCGATGCGAACAGTATTTTAAAATTCACCAAGTTATTACATAGCCATAGGACAAATACTACACTAAGTTAAACCGCTCTCCATTGTGTTACCACCATTGTACTTTGCACAATAATCCACCCACATCGCCCAAGCAATTTGATCTCGCATCTCCTTTCATTCATTTCTTACATCTTGATCCTCTCTTTGTGTCCTACTTTGAGTATAGTCCATCACATTTGATTCGTCCTCATTTGTCTCTTCCCCAGTATCTTCATCAATTTCAACATTTTCATTTAAAATATCATCATCCGGATCCTCCAAGGCAATAAAGTTGTGCAACACAGTACACGCTAGTACAATGTCCACTTGAGTGGGAAATGGATAATTCGGCTTCCCCGCAAGAATTTTAAACCGATTCTTCAGTATCCCAAATGTGCACTCAATTTTTGATCTTAAAGATGAATGCCTTAAATTGAACAACTCCTTCCTATTCTTTGGTGTCCTACCGGTGTGCTCTTTTAAATGATATCGGACACCGCGATACGGGGATATGAAACCTGGCATTGTGGTGTATCCAGCGTCACATAGGTAATATTTACCTACATTAATTAAACAGTATTTTAAAATCTCAAATATTGCCAAGTATTTAATATATTATTCATAATATGCACAAGTGAGAATGAATACCATCGTAAACTCGGAGACCGTAAGGCTGTGGCCTAGACAGGGCGTCTTGTAATACCCTATAATCATTTGCTGCCCCCTCCCAGCCAGCCAAGACATAAGTAAATAGTTTATTGGGGGTGCAGGCTGCTAAGATGTTTTGGGTGACCCCTTTTCGCCCTCTAAACCGTGCAACTAGGTCACTGGGTAACACCGCGTCGACGTGTGTGCCATCTATCAAACCAATGCAGTCCTATAAAAAATTATAAATTATACATAGTTAAATAAAAAAAAGTTTCTTTGGAAAATTATTAAGTTGTATGTATTTAATTTACCTTAAAGTACGGAAAATAATTTGAGTTGTTTGCAATCTCCTCGGGAACTTCTTTTGGGGCTTGCTTCATGTACCGATCACGTAATCCATTCATTGCAGACAAGACTTTATTGAAATACCTGCTCACTGTTTCCCCTGATCTTATGAACTCAGTTCTTATTATTCTATTTTTAGTTTTGTGCCCAATAATACTCAAGAACATAGCAAGTTGTTCTTCAACTTGAACGTGTCTCGTATCTTTTAATAAACCGTTTGCTTTCATTACTTCAACAAGTTTAAAAAATGCCCTCGGTCTCATTCTAATATAAGATTGGCAGCTATCTTGATAACCCTCCAATACACGTCTGAAATGAGCCTCTCTACAACTTATTTTCCTGACCCTTTCTTGCGGCGAACATTTTGGTATTCTCTTGCGCTTAGCACGCATTCTCAAAATACATGTTACCAAAGTGACCACGGCGCAGACAGCTGTATTAGCACACATCCTCTTCAATTCTTCCTCATCTTCCATATCCATCTACAACCGTTTTAATATTATCATACAGTTACAGCTTAAGATGGCTACTTATTTCTTGTAAAAATTAAGTAGATAATTGATACAAATATTTATTTCTTTTAAAGCAAGAAATCTAATTGCAATAATAAATTATTTTAACTAATGTTGCATTCCATCTCACACAATTCTAAACAAACAAGATAGACCCAAAACAAACAAACTATATGGTTAGATCACTAATAATTTACACGCACACAAAAAAATTAAATAAAGTTAAAAAAACAGCAATTTAAGTTCTTAAAATACTGATTTGAAACATATTATGAAATTAATCTCGCCCAAATCGGATATCCGCATGAAATTAATGTACCTAACAACCTAATTCTTGCAAATTTACAAAAAATCCACTACACAGAGACCCGCATGAATTATTTTGCTGTACTATTATGAAATTAATCGAACAAATCATTGAAATTGCTGTGTGTGTGTGCCTCTATTTCTCATATGCTTCAAAATTAAATTAAAATTTTCAAATCACTGGAAAAAATGGACAAAGTAAAAGGGGGAAATTTTTATACCTTACTGCAGAGGGGAAAATGCCGACGTTCAAGCTCGTGGAAATCAAGAAGATCCCAACCCAAGTTGAAGAAGATCCCAACCAGAAGGGATCACCAAGAATCGAAGGCAAGAAAACCAGCAACAATCTCGTGGAAATCAAGAGCTAGGGTTTCGAGAAAGAGGCCCGACCCCAAGTATCATCGTAGACGAAGAAGCGCGGGAGCAGAGGCGCGAGGAAGAGGGCGATTGAGGCGGGAGCGGCAGAGCGATTCCAGATCTAGGGATCGAAAGCGTGAAGCCAGGAATCGGAATCGACGAGGAAGCTCAAGTGTCAGAAATCTCGCCCAAATCGGAAGCAAATGCTCGGATTTGGGTTTCTACAAAAAAGGACAACTGTAGCTACTGTGTAGAAGATGTAATCCCAAAAAAATTTTCTGAACCAAACTCCAGAATAGGATTCACAAAGAATCCATAATTTACGAAAATGCCACTGTCAGAACCCAATTCCTAATCCTATTCTATAAAAGCCTGAAACAAACAGGCCCTTAAGGTAGTACCCACTTTATAGGATACTTATCATTATTCATAAATTTATACCACACAATGCCATGTCCCCGCCCGAGGAGTGGTGCCCAACTTATAGTATAATAATTATTATTCTTTATCAACTAATATGTAAATTCTGTCACACTGTTATCTTAAAGAGTTTTGCTACAGTGACCCAAAATATGGGATCAATAAAGGGGACAAGTGAGGTGTCCCCCTCCTATTAGATAATGAGTTGGCCATCATTAATGATGACCAACTCATTATCCAATAGGAGGGGGACACCTCACTTGTCCCCCCTATTGATCCCATATTTTGGGTCCTTAAAGAATTTTTCTATCTTAAAACTTGACCTTTCCACATGAATGTGCCCCCATAATACCGAAGTGACCCAGGTTCCATGAAGGCGTACGGATTAAGGCTAATCCTTATCCCCATGGTGTCCAGCTGTAGGAAGAAGGAAGCTGGGGAACAGACACGTGTAGTGGTAAAACCACGTGCCGAGCACGTGTACTGCTGGACACGGTGCCCCATCCAGTGGGCCCCACGGAGAATGCTGCAGATTTGGGGAAGCTTCCCTATTTTTTCTCCTCCATCCCTATTTTGGGGAATGAGATGGGGAATCTGTTGGACCAAAAATCTAACTAAATTCTCCAAAAGTGAGAAATGGGGAAGCTGTTGGAGATGCTCTAAGAGGCTTCAAATACTTTACATGTTACTTACAGAAGACCTATAAACTTACCAATTAAACCGATGGGGTGTCATACATCAAGTTTTCATGAAAAAGAAGTTACTTACCGCTTGCAATATGAGATGCGAATTGAGAGTGAGTTAACGTAGTTCGAAGATAGCTAAAAGAACAAGGGATCAAATCTCTTCTACAGGAAAGAGGCCAAGAAGACGTAACAAAGAGCTTTGCTATAGGGACCCAAAATATGGGACCAATAAAGGGGATAAGTGAGGTGTCCCCCTCCTATTAGATAATGAGTTGGCCATCATTAATGATGACCAACTCATTATCCAATAGGAGGGGGACACCTCACTTGTCCCCCCTATTGATCCCATATTTTGGGTCCTTAAAGAATTTTTCTATCTTAAAACTTGACCTTTCCACATGAATGTGCCCCCATAATACCGAAGTGACCCAGGTTCCATGAAGGCGTACGGATTAAGGCTAATCCTTATCCCCATGGTGTCCAGCTGTAGGAAGAAGGAAGCTGGGGAACAGACACGTGTAGTGGTAAAACCACGTGCCGAGCACGTGTACTGGCTGGACACGGTGCCCCATCCAGTGGCGCCCACGGCGGCCTCATCCACATCCACTTCTCGTCCCCCAAGCGGATATTTCAATGACCCATTTAGGGTAATTCCGTAATTCATTAACTTAATCCGAAACATTGATAAGACCACTCAGATTAAAGTTAACATTTTAGAGAGAGAAGGAGGTTCAGGGCTTTTATGTTTTCCAAATAGAGGCGTGTGTTTATCGAGCTTCCCACAAAATCTCTATTGTTGCTCCCCCCGTATAAAACCGCAGCAGCCTGTTTATTTTTTGTAGCGCTCTCTCTCTCTCTCTCTCTCTCTCATTTTCTCTCTCTTGGGAGCCTGAACTTATCAATGCCTGTAGAGAATTTGGCTTCTTAAAAAAATAGGGTAATAATCTGATCTCAAACTATTGTATTTTCATCTTTATTTCTGATTGTTTCTGTAGAAAAATCGAATTTTTGAGCTTATTTTTTTGTTGGTGATCTGGCTTACCTTGAATCTCAACTCCATTTGCTAACAGAGAGTTTATCTACAAAATTATCCTGATTCTATTCCTTGCTCAAATTCCTCATCCTTATCCGAGCTTGCTTGATCCCTTTACCCTCTCATCTTGGTTTCTTTTCTTGCGTTTAAAAGCCAAGGCGTGCCCTATTAAAGAATCATCAAGTCTCTTCTAAGATCTAGATAAAAGAGGTTTTTGGGAACAAAACCCACTTCTCATTTTCCTTTGATTACTCTTTTCGCTCATCGAAACCCCTTTCTTTAACACTGAGCTGATAGGATTTCTCTCTTTATCAATCTGGGTTTTCTTTAAAAGTTAGAAATAGATGTCTCTTTGATCAGCATTTTCTTCCTTATGGGTCACCAAAATGCTTTCCTTAGTGTCTCCCTGTTGATAATTCCCTTTATTTGCAAGTGGGTTCTCCATAAAAGTTAGCAATAAAAGAAGAACTTTTGATAAAAGGCCCATCTTCCATCTCTGAAATCTGAAAATGGTTTCAAGTTCTTACTCAAATTTACTAGAATTGGCCTCCGGGGAGCCCTCCTCCCTCGGCCGACTCCGTCGTGAGATCCCTCGCATTGTCACAGTCCCGGGCATCATCCCTGGCATCGATTCCTCTGATGAATCTGAGTCCGAGTTCAGCTCCCCTTCTTCTTCACCTCGAGATCGAACCATCATTGTAGCCAATCACCTCCCTATCCGGGCCCACCGCAACCCCGTATCCTCCAATGGCTGGAGCTTTTCTTTGGATTATGACTCTCTTCTCCTTCAGTTGAAGGATTCTATCAATGCATCACATTCTAAAAACATGGACTTCATCTTCATCGGCTGCCTTCGAGATGAAATCCCTGTTTCTGACCAGGAAATGGTCTCACAAATGCTTCTTGATACCTTCCATTGTGTCCCTGTGATCATGCCCCCTGATCTTCTCTCGAGATTCTATCATGGGTTTTGTAAGAACCACCTTTGGCCTTTGTTTCACTCTCTTCTCCCACTTTCCCTTTCTTCTACTCGCTATGACCGAACTTTGTTCCAGTCCTATGTGTCTGCAAACAAGCACTTTGCAGATAAGATACTCGAGGTGATTAACCCTGATCACGATTTTGTTTGGGTTCATGATTACCACCTCATGGTGCTGCCTACATTTTTGAGGAAGAGATTCAATCGGGTGAAGCTTGGTTTCTTCCTCCATTCACCCTTTCCTTCTTCTGAGATATATAAAATCTTGCCCGTTAGAGAACAGATCCTCCGATCGTTGCTCAATTCGGATCTGATTGGATTTCATACTTTTGATTATGCACGACATTTCTTGTCATGTTGTAGTCGAATGCTTGGCTTAACCTACGAGTCGAAGAGGGGCTACATTGGTTTGGAATACTATGGTAGAAATGTTAGTATCAAGATTTTACCAGTTGGAATTCATTTGGGTCAGCTCAAATCAGTCTTGAGCCAACCAGAGACAGAATCAAAGGTTGCTGAGCTTGTCGATCAGTACTTGTGCAGGGGTCGGATTTTGCTTCTTGGTGTTGATGATATGGATATCTTTAAGGGGATAAGTTTGAAACTTTTAGCATTTGAGCAGCTTTTGATTCAGCATCCAGAGTGGGTTGGAAGGGTGGTTTTGGTTCAGATAGCAAATCCTGCAAGAGGAAAGGGGAAGGATGTGAAGGAAGTGCAGGCCGAGAGTTATGCCATGGTGAAGAGGATCAATGAGAAGTTTGAGCAGCCTGGTTATGAGCCAGTTATTATGATCGACAAACCACTCAAGTTCTACGAGAGGATGGCTTATTATGTGGTGGCTGAGTGTTGCTTGGTGACGGCAGTGAGAGATGGCATGAATTTGATACCTTACGAGTACATAATTGCAAGACAAGGGAATGAGAAGTTGGAGAAGGTCTTGGAATTAAGTCCTTCCACACCAAAGAAGAGCATGTTGGTAGTTTCTGAGTTCATTGGTTGTTCTCCATCACTCAGTGGGGCAATTCGCGTGAACCCATGGAACATCGATGCAGTAGCCGATGCTATGGACTCGGCATTGGAGTTGCCTGAACCAGAAAAGCAGTTAAGGCACGAGAAGCATTATCGATATGTGAGTACCCATGACGTTGGCTACTGGGCAAATAGTTTTCTGCAAGATTTGGAGAGGACATGTAGTGATCACATTAGGAGGAGGTGTTGGGGTATTGGGTTTGGATTGGGATTCAGAGTGGTGGCTCTTGATCAGAACTTTAGGAAGCTTTCTATGGAGCACATTGTTTCGGCATATAGGAGGACTAATAGGCGAGCTATTCTGTTAGATTATGATGGTACGTTGATGCCCCAAGTGTCTATTGACAAGAGCCCAAGTCAGAGGTCAATTGAGATCTTGAATAGTTTGTGTCAAGATAAGAACAATGTGGTGTTTCTCGTCAGCGCGAGAAGTCGAAGCACTCTTGGTGATTGGTTCTCTCCTTGTGAGAATCTAGCAATAGCGGCTGAGCATGGCTACTTTCTTAGGTAAATAATTATCGATTGCGTATAAGTCTATTCAGTTTGCATGCTATACTCAAAATTTCTTAGTTTGCATTGTAGTGTCTTCATCAGATCAGATATACTGAGATAGTTTATCAGAAATTTCACCTCAAATATATCACTACTGTTAGGAAAGACGCAAGCATTCATTATTTAAACATATATTTTATCTTGGATCCTATTGAAGAAAGGACAACCTGGTTATAACTGAATTCATAGATTGCATACCGTTCTTATGATAAAACTTAGGCAAACAAGACAGTATTGACAAGATAAATCCAAATTGCTCAACCTAGATTGCGAGTTCCTAAGCAGCTTACATGGACACTAGTAACATCAGTCATAAGACCCAATTCTTATGTCAAAGGGGAAGAAACTATCATCAAACCCATATAAGTTGGGTTTGTCTCTTTTCATTGCTGCATCTTGGACAGTTTGATGTTATCAGGACATAACCTTTCTGTTTGTGTTCCCAGGTTGAAGAGAGATACTGAATGGGAAACATGTAATTCTATGGCAGATTGCAGCTGGAAACAGATAGCCGAACCAGTCATGAACTTATACACTGAAACTACTGATGGTTCGATGATTGAAGACAAAGAGACTGCACTTGTCTGGTCCTATGAAGATTCTGATCCTGACTTCGGTTCTTGTCAGGCCAAGGAACTTCAAGATCACCTTGAAAGTGTCCTCGTTAACGAACCTCTTTCAGTAAAGAGTGGCCAGAACTATGTGGAAGTCAAACCTCAGGTTAACACTAATCCTTCATTATGACTCCCATTTTTTGGGTTTATTGCAGATGCACCCGTTTTGCAATGACCGTTTTGCTACTTATCATCCACGTTCCATATTAACTATTAACACACATATACTATTAACACATATACTGATGCTGCAATTTTCCTAGTTTTTAAACTCTCATGTGAATTTATGCTTCAAGGGTGATGAGTGAGTTACACTTCTATTTTTTTAAATTAATTTTGTGCTGGTAGTTAGTACTTGCATTATAATACACAGGGAGTAAGCAAGGGATTAGTAGCTGAACGATTGCTTTCTACTATGAGCAAGAGGGGATTGTTGCCGGACTTTGTTCTATGTATCGGAGATGATAGATCTGATGAAGATATGTTTGAAGTGATTAGCTCAGCAATGTCTGGCCCGGGTACATCTCTATCATCCGCAGCTGAAGTTTTTGCTTGCACAGTTGGTCGGAAACCTAGCAAAGCTAAGTATTATTTAGACGACACAGCAGAGATTGTTCGGTTGCTGCAAGGACTAGCTTCGGTATCGGACCAAGCTTCATCGGCATCTGGGAGCTCGATTACAGCATCTGGGAGCTCGATTACAGCGTAGGGTGGCTTAGTGATGTGCAGGTAAAATTCTTTTTATAAGTCTCTTGTTGCAACCTCCTGAAATGTTGGGCGTTGGTTGCGTGTTAGTTTGTAAAGTAGGTAAAAAGTAACTTTGAAATATCTTGTTTTGTTTGGTGGCGGTTTGTGTTGTTTTAATTTTAAGTTAACATGTATATATTGCTGGTTGAAACTTTATTTGTCTGCAGTATATCATTCTCCTTTAATGTGTACTTTCTCCTTGAGTTGTAGTTGATCAGTAAATTGGGGTTAATCTTGAATATTTGGGTTTAATAATCAAACGTTATGATACGATTAGTAAGTGCGTTAGACTGCTCTCTTTCCCCTCTAGTTTTTATCTTTTGAATTCTTTACTTAAACAACATATGTTGAAGGTGGAATTTTTTTTGATCTCCATTTGGGAAATACATTTATCATTTATCTGTCATTTTAACAATCTCCTTTGGGAAGTTTTGTTGCCAAGTACGAGTTTGGAAGGTATTTCCAAGGGTTAAATTTCACAAAGCCCCCAGAACCTTTGGCTGTGTTGCGCATAACAAAAAAAAAAAAAAGCTTTGTGGGGTGAGCACAAAACCTTCCTAAACTTTGTTTATTCTGCATACCCCCTTAATTTTAGGGTGTCTCCCCAAAATTCCCTTGAACTTTGAATTTTTCTCATTGGATCTCATCTGAGAAGGAAGGCTTTTTTTTGTTTTTTTTTGGAGAGAGAGAATTTAGGAAGATTATGTGAGATAAATAAATTTTAGGGTCAACACTCCCAAAATTCAAGGGGTTATATAAACTTAATCCTATTTCAAATCCATCAGCTGAAAATTGTTCACTCTAATGTACATTGGTGACTATTTCTGTCGAGGCGGAATCCTTGATACATACAAATTTCACACAAAGAATGTCAGTCTGCAGAAAAATTTGGGCAAACGTGTTATCTCAATGCATGCATTTACAACAAGGAAGTAGACATGCCAACTGGCTCCGTTCAGTAATGGGCAGCAAAAGAAAATCTATATATCGCCTAGGATAGAGCTAGTTTTCAAACTCTCTTCTGCAAAGCAATTGGAAGAAACAACTAGCAAAAGAATTGCACAAGAAACCATAAAGCACAAATTACATACGTGCGTACAAAGATAAACATATACGATATCTATTTATATCTATATTACTTATAAAAGATAAACACATGCAATATCTATCTATACAAGATAAACGCATGCAATATCCATATCCATACTACTTATGAATGCATTGCTATGTGAAAACTTTTGAATGTATTTTTTGCCTTCTCAATTTCGATAATTCACAATTATACCTTTTATCTACAAGTAACAGTTCATTTATTATTCATAACCTCTAATTGACTATGGCTTCTGAATTAATTCATTAACAATTAATAAAAGTGTACATCTCATGTAAAATAATTTACTAAGTTATTATTTTTACATTATTATATAATTAATAAATATTTATAATAACTTATGAATTATTTTACAATTTTTATTAATATATAAATTATTAGTTATATTGTACGATAAATAGTATGATATTTACTCTTTAAATTAAGAATCACATTGTTATTTAATAATTATACAATTGAATAATTATTTAACAACTATATAATAGACTAATTTACATAATCATAAATAAAATATTTAATAATACTATAATTATTAATAATAGTATCAACTATTAATTCTTTAAGAAGAGGATAATAAAATAATTATACGTTTGTAATTATTCCTTGTATAATTATCTACTAATTATCTATAAGTTATATAAAATATTATTAAAGTAATAGTATAAAAAAATACAATTATACTATTATGATTATTAAAGTAGATTATTGTATTAAATAAGTGTTTAATATGGCATACCTATTTGAATAAATAGTAATCGTTTTTCAAACAATTTTTTATACAATACAATTTTATTATATAATCGTATTGATTTAAAGAAAATTTTATTTGTTACTTAATAATTTATATTGTTATTTTTTTAATTTTTCAGTCAATAGAAAACATATTCAAAACATAAGACAATTAAGCCCCAATGCAAAGCATGTGCACTGTACTAGTATTTGTTAAAGATAAAATCAAACTGAAATACCAAATATAAAGTCAAAGTTACTTCACTCAATTCTGTTTGTAGTATTACCCTATATATTCCAAATTACTAAACATCAACCAAAAGGACCACACAATACAATCTCTGTTGTTAAAAATCAACTAATAAAGATTATAGCATAAAATTAAACCCAAAAGAAAATCTTTTAGATTAGAAAAAACAGGCCTGACGGGAGCAGTCGTGTAATCACTGCCCTAGAAGATTGAGGACCCGCCTATCGCCCTGGCGCAGTTGATCCTCTCCCCCTAGCGGTAAAAGCCCCTGGACGAGAGTAGCAAAGCTTATGCTCAGACGAAGATGGTTGCCCAAATAAACCGTAGCAAATCAGAAAAGAGGCTTTGGAAGAAAAGAGAGAAGAAATGTTCTTGTTGTTGTGTTTTTCCACTTTCTCTTCGGCTGTTTATATAGTGTTGGGAAAGAACCGTTACAAATCAAATAATGAATACAAGATTTGTAACGTTCGACCATTACCCAAAAACCCGCAGCCGTTATGCACACAAAAAACGTGCAAAATAAAAAACAGAAGAACAAAAAACGTGAGCGTGTGCGGTGCGGCGTGGCGTGGCGCGCGCGTGCGTGCGGCGGCGTGGCGAGGCGAGGCGAGGCGTGGCGTGCATTAGTAAAACATATATATATATATAGGTTGGGCAACCTTTCGTATCGTGAATTCGGGAGAGGTGACTTCTAGCTTTGAACCTTTCCTTAGTGAGTTTATCGCCACCTGAGGGACATAATGGACTAGGCCTTGAATTAGGCCCCTTGAACTAGGTATTGACAAAAACACACACAATACGTCTTCGTCTATTGAGCAAAGCGGGTTGAACGTTAAAGGCCATGCTCATAGTAACCGTCTCATGAGAGTTTCTAGGGTTAGCCCTGACCCTCCAACCACGGCCATCACGGTTCCTCTCACGTAGGTAAGTCCTCAAAGGGTACTACAGCTGTTTATTTAATACCCCCCATAATACACACGTTGGACTTATTAAGAGTAAAACTCAGCCTAGCCAGCTGTATCATAAGAGCATCGTCATCATAGAGAAGGGGTAGTAGCACAAGCTACATAGTGATATATGAATATATCTGGGTCGATGCTCCACACGAGTGTCACTAGTCCAGCTTGTTTCTACCACATTGAACCGACATTGGGACTAAGTCTCCAAATAAGGGTTGAGTTCCCACTGTTAGTGACCTCTCTTATGGGCTTAACCCCATCTCCCTCGATGAATCCAGAATCACACTCCTGGATAATCCCTTAGTCAAAGGGTCAGCTAGATTTTTTTCAGACTTTACAAAGTCTAAGATCACAACTTTGCCTATCAGGCGTTGTACAAATTTATATCTTATTTGAATATGTCTGTTGAGTTTTTTATTTACATGCACTTGCTTTAGAAGCTCTATGGTAGATCTAGAATCAGAATGAATGGAAATAGGAGGAAAGGGTTTAGGGACCAAAGGAAGTTCAGAAAGTAGATCTTTTAACCATTCTGCTTCTGTGCAAGTGGTATCAAGAGCAATCAGTTCAGATTCCATAGTGCTCCTGGCAATTACAGTTTGCTTACATGATTTCCAGGATACAGCAGCACCACCAAAAAGAAATACATAACCAGATGTGGATTTTACACTGTTAGAATCTGTGACCCAATTGGCGTCACTATACCCTTCCATAGCATTAGGGTATCCAGTGTAAGTCAAGCAATAATCAACTGTGCCCTTCAAGTATTTGAATATTCTTTCTAAGGCAGACCAGTGATCTAGATTAGGGTTACTAGTATACCGGCTCAGTCTCCCTACAGCATAAGCTATATCGGGTCTGGTCCGGTTAGATATGTATAGAAGAGATCCAATCATTTGAGAATACTTCAGCTGGGAAACAGGTTCACCTTCATTCTTCTTCAAGGATATAGAAGAATCATAAGGTATTGAAACAGGTTTAGAGTCATGATAGTTGAATTTGATTAGTATTTTTCTCAATACTGTGAGAAAGACTTAAAGATATTCCTCTAGTATCTCTAGTGATTTTCATTCCAAGTATCATATCTGTAAGACCTAAGTCTTTCATGTCAAAGTTCTTAGATAGATAATCCTTAACTTTTGAGATTAATTCAAGAGAAGTTCCAAAGATAAGGATATCATCAACATAGAGACAGAGGATGACATAGTCATTGTTTATCACCGTTGAATAAACACATTTGTCGTGTCCATTCATAGTGAATCCATATTGTGCAGTGACTTTGTCAAATTTCTGGTACCATTGTTTAGGAGCTTGTTTAAGACCATACAGAGATTTAACAAGTTCGAGATTTAACAAGTTTGCAGACTTTGTTTTCCTAACCCTTGGCAATGAAGCCTTCAGGTTGGTTCATATAAATCTCTTCATCTAAATCACCATTCAGGAAAGCAGTCTTGACATCCATCTGATATATGATCAGCTTATGGATAGCAGCAAAGGCTAATAATACTCTGATAGTGGAAATTCGGGCTACAGGGGAATAAGTATCAAAATAATCAATGCCCTTTTGCTGAGTATAGCCCTTAGCTACTAATCTAGCTTTAAATTTATCTATAGATCCATCAGCTCTAAGTTTTTTCTTGAATATCCACTTACAGCCAACAGGTTTACAGCCTGGAGGTAAGTCAGCGAGTATCCAAGTATGATTTTCCATGATAGATGTAATCTCATTATCAATGGCTTCTTTCTAGAAAGGAGATTCAGGTGAATCCATTGCTTCTTGGAATGAGCTTGGATCACCTTCAACAAGAAAGGTAAAGAAGTCTTCTCCAAAATCCTTTTGAATTCTACCTCTTTTGCTTCTTCGAGGCTCAATGTCAAAAGGCTGGGAAGAGCTAGATGATGGTAGATCAGAAGGAATAGATGTTCTAGGATTTTCTGAGATTTTGGATTTGAAAGGAAAGATATTTTCAAAAAAGACTGCATCTCTAGCTTCAATGATAGTGTTTTTGGATATGTCACTAATTTCAGAGTTAATAACTAGAAATCTATTAACATTGCTATCTAGTGCATATCCAATGAAAGCAGCATCAACAGTTTTGGAACCAATTTTCCTCTTCTTAGGTTCGGGAATAGCTACATTTG